TTCAACGAGGATTGGCTTCAGGTCGCCTGCACGTTGGTTGTAGAATACAGAGATTCCACCGCTTGGGCGACCTGGCCCCGCTGTTTTTTGTGCGAGGTGGTGAACTTCATAAAAACCATTTATTGAAAAGGGTTTCGTTGCCCATGTTTCTATGAGGACTAGTATATCGACGTCTGTGAGTGAGTTCACTGGGAGAAGATCCAGATTTTTCACCCCGTCGCAGTTCCATTGGACTATAAATAGCGAGCCACCGCGAGTCTTTGTTGAGTTCTCTTCCGTGGCCTTGCCGTTGTGGCCTGCGCCGCTTGCCGGCTTAGTGCATCGGCAACCTGGGCTTGTATAACTCTCAGGGTCTGGTTCAAGGGGTCCTCGGCCGATCGTCGTTGTTGAGAGGCGAAGTCCCTCCTGGGCGGTGCCCTGGTTGTCCGGGGAACCCTTGCATTTGGAGTTCTTTCTTTGTCTCTCGGTCGACGGCTCACGAGGGTAGGGTTCGCGGCGGGCTGGGAGATAGAGGCTTTTCGTGTCGACGTCTCTCTCCGCGGTCCTCCATTTCATCGACGACCTCCTCCAACCGAAGATGTCGAACACCGTTCCTCTGATCACGAGTACAATAAGAGCGTCCCGATCGCGTCTCAACTATGACGACCTCTTCAAATTTTTTTTTCCTCCTCCTTCCAAACAAACGAACTTACTTCTCTCCCTCACGGAAATCTCTAATTCAACGAAAGAGAAGCTACGAAATCAACCTCAGCCACCTATATTGAAGATGTATCCACCTCCGATCCCTCGACACTGACTCGGAGGGGAATACTGCAAAAGCTTTTACTCCTCAGTGTCTCAGGATCCGAGATATTGGAAAAATCACTTCTCAGCTCTATCGCGCTTCGCTGCACCATATTCGCAACACCGATCCGAACGATCCAGACACTCCGAGCGAGGGCTCCCCCGCACTGTCTCCAAAACACGCAGCCGCCGATCATCGCGAACTTTCTCGACGAAAAATCGAAATTTCGAACGGACTCTGTACGAATCATTCGCATATATTCTCGCACGGCAAAGCATTATCTATCTCGAAATTACTACTTTACCCCTATTTTCGGACCAAAATTGTCCGAATTTTCGCTTAGAAGCCTCCGATGTTACCTATTAGAGGGGATGCTGAGACTAACTTTAGAATAGCTACACTCATTCTTCTAAGCTAAGCTTTCTGTCATATCTATTTCGGTAAGCCCCGACTCCGTACTGTGCCACATGTCAGAGGCTCCACTCATCAGGCCTCTCTTCTGATTCCGTATTTAGTAACCATCTGGAAATCTCACTCGATGCCTTACGAACTGTGCCTCTCGGAGAGGGTCAACCTACTGATATATAAGACGACACTTTCTCCAATAAAACCACTGTGGTGTGCTCCCATCTCAACCTCCGGTTGTCCTCTCTGAGCTCGTACGTGTCCCGCTGATCTACCGAACCTAGCCTTCGACCTATCTAGGAACAACAGCGTGCTCTGTTCGTTCCTCGGTCGAGATTTTGATTGACTGTCTAATTTGATTTGTGCGGTTTTCTGCCTGGTCTTCGTCGTAGTATCCGGTCGGGTGGTTTTTGTGGTCGTAAGATTTCGAGTCGAGTGGGAGAGGAGGCAGTATAGATTGCGATTCTAGAACCCCTGCTGCTGGTCTTTCGCGATCATGGTGTCCATCTCCTCGATTGGATGGTCGGGTTCGTGCTTGACTGTTTCCAGTATCTGCTCATCTTGGGGTCTGCCTCGAAATATTTTCACGGCAGCTCCCGCGCACCATTTGGAAGGATCGTTCACGATATTACCCTCTCCGCTTTAAAGTTCGACAACGAAAGAGGCGAGTGTCGGGTTAGGGAAGCGAGTTTTCATTTTTATCACCTGTCTGATCTTCTTTGTGATAGTGAACACGTATTGTAGAATTCTTTCCGCGTTAACTTCAGGAGCAATCCGAGTCAGGAAGATACGATCTGGGTATGGCAGTTTCGGCTGTGGCGCCACTATCGGTAGACAGCTGGTGCCCGTTCCGAACACAACTGCTGGGCGGGGGGTAGAACTTCGGCTTGGTTTCAGAGGGTTGAAGTCAAGGGCTCTCGCAGACGCGATCATCTACTGGAACTTCGGGGTGTTCCCCCTAGGACCGCGTCAGCTGAGCGTTTTCGAATCAACTTTGGTGTTTGTTTTGGTGTCACCAACTGATTCTGTCGTGATGATGAGGCTGTGGCGAAAGGGAGGGGCGTGCCCCTTGAACCATGGTATCCCGGTCCGAGATCACGAGCTCCAGGCTGTTTTTGCTGGGTCAATTCAAGGTCCAACAGGCCTTTGATCAGTTTGCTCTCGGCTCTTGTGTCCGATAGTTCGTTTTTGAGCTCCAGCACCAGGTCCGTTAGGACGAGAACGCGGGCTATCAGTACGGCGGTCGGTGGTTCTTTCAGGTCCTCCTTGACGCATCTAGGGCATCTGAGGGCTCCTGCTGAGTCCTTCGAGTCGTCGGCACACGGGGGGTGCAGAAAAGCACCGTAACCGGACTCACAGGATAGGATCACTCCGTCTTTGTGGACGCTACGCTGACACAAGGCACACACCACTTGAAGAACTATTTTCAATGGATGACTTTTCCAGAGATCGATTTCTAGTGGCACGACGGGATGTCAGGGGTTCGATACAGTCTGCCGAGTGGATGAGAAGACACTTCAATCGATATAAGTCGGTGTAAAAACTTTGAGCGGTTCCGAACACGTCTTTTCACGGCCACTGTAGCAGACGATAGATCCGAACTAGGGTTACGGGATAAGTAGGTAGTCCGCCACCAGCAATTCTTTACCGGGCTTGTATTACACGTCTATATCATATAGATCTATAGCAGAGTTATTCTCATCTTTTATAGCCTTGCTGGTACTTTATCGAGCGACTTCTTCATTATGGCCTCGAGGGGCTTATGATCACTTTCGACCCTGAGGTTCGGTTGACCCAGAGTGTAATAATGGAATTTTGTGCAACCAAACACGATTGCTAACAATTCCTTCTCTATTTGAGCATATCGTTTCTGGCTTGTCATGTCGCAGCGTTTAAATTAAGGCGCGCTCAACGCGCAGACGCACAATAATAAAAACAGATCTACTGGCGTGTCAAGCCAGTCATTCCCGGCTCCCCGGCTTGTTCACTCGTAGCTCGATTCCACAAATTGGCGCAGCCGACAGGATGCAGGCGGTACCACCTCCGCCGTTTCTGAGTGAACCCGGGGACCCGCCGATGCCAGTGGATGAGTGGTTTCCAGTCTTCACCAGCTACTTGTTCGCCAAAGGCGGCGAGGGATTCAGCGATGTACGTAGAAGAGCCGTGCTGCTGAACTGTCTTGGTGTCGAGGGTCAGCGGCAGTTCTCAGCAACCTTGACGGCCCCCCTGAGTGCACCGATAGCGGCTGACAGTCAGAGCCCTCTGTATGATGAGGCCGTACGGCGAATTTGCGATCGTTTCTCCAAGCGGAAGTCGAAGGTAACGTCTCGGTGCGAATTCTTCGCGCGGTTTCAGCAGCCCGGGGAATCGATCACAACGTTTGTGGGCGACCCCCGGCGGCTGGCGGCGAAGGGAAATTTCGGATCGTACTCAGAGGACCAGGCGGTACTGGACCAGCTGATAGTGCGAACATCCAACACCGAGATCAGAGAACGACTCCTGCTGGAGGGCGATGCATTGACCATGGACGTCGCGCTCACTATGGCGAAGCGTTTGGAGGCCGCCGCAGCGGAGTCGTCGAAGCTGAAGGGAATCAATTTGCTGGGGACCCGGGCATCGATAAATATGGATGCTGAGCCGGAAGTTAACGGCATTCGAGACGCGCGCAGAAATCAACAACTCCGGGAGAAAGACCCTCGTCAGCGACCGCGGAAACCACCGGGTGTCGGTCCAACGTGTTGGACGTGTGGCGCAAGAGGACATATCGAAAAGGCATGCTGGAGACGGGGAGTGCGAGTCGTCGAAGAGGAATCCGAGGAGTACATCGAGAGGAGCCACACGGCTGCCGATGGGGACAGTCAGGCGGATATAGGAGGTATTTCGACTACCGTGTTATCGATAGGTAGCGAATCCCTGCCGATTTTCTGCACCCTCAAGGTGGCCGACAGCGAGATGAAATTCATGGTAGATTCGGGCGCGCAGGTCTCAGTTGTGAACAGAGAAACCCTAGATCGCTGCCTCGGCCATCTGGAGCTCCGCGAGACAACTCAAAAATTGTGGGCCTACAATCACGGAAGGATCGAAACGTTGGGGATCGTGGAGGCTCCGGTGGAGTTCGGCGGACGAAGACGAAAGGCTGTTTTCTTCGTGGTTCCACGGGGCTCCAATGTATTGGGATTGCCGCTCATGCGCGACTTGAAGATCAAGATAGATGTGGCGTCAGGAACGTGTGCAAGCGTACTGGCGCAAGTTCACCAAGAGACTACGGAATTCGTGAAGGAATTCCCGGAGGTTTTTTCAGAGCGACTCGGCCTATTGAAAAATTACAGCCATAAGGTAACCGTTAAAGCCGGAGTGGGTCCCAAGCAACAGGGCTCTCGTCGGATCCCACTTTCAATTCGGGACAAAGTAAAAGACGTCATCGGGCAGCTAGAAAAAGAGGGAATCATTGAACGCATCAATGCGGCGGAATGGATTTCCCCGGTGGTAGTGGCGGCGAAAAAGAACGGCGACGTGAGAATCTGCGTGGACCCACGAGAGGTCAACAAGGCGATTGTCCCAGATGCGTTCCCCCTCCCTCACCTGGATGATCTGATGCACGAATTAGCGGGTTTCAATGATTTTCAAAAATCGACCTGAGATCGGCCTATCATCAGGTTAAGCTCCACGAGGATTCCAGGGACTTGACTGCGTTCATATGCCCGTATGGATTGTTCCGCTTTACGCGGGTGTGTTTCGGGCTGGCTTCAGCCCCTGCGGCCTTCCAGTCGGTCATGGATTCATTAATAGGCGGACTGAAGGGAGTCGTCTGCTATCTTGACGACATCCTGGTGATTGGCCGTACCCGACATGGGCACGATACCAGGGTGCGAAAAGTACTCCGTACACTGAGGAATGCGGGCCTCACTATCAATGAAAAAAGTGCCTCCGCGCTGAAAGAAGTCGACTTTCTGGGTCATACCGTCGGACTGGATGGCGTCCGACCGCTCGAGAGTAACGTGAACGCGATCGAGAGGGCACCGGCGCCTAGAAAAATCGCTCAATTGCGCTCCTTCCTTGGAATGGCCGGATTCTACCTCAAGTGTGTTCCTCATTGCGCGGACTTGGTGGAACCGATGAGGAGACTGCTCCGCAAGGATGTTGAGTTCATCTGGAATCCAGAGCAGGAGCAGGCATTCCGGAAAGTCAAGAGCGAGATCGGCGAGGCGGCTCCGTTGCGGGTGTTCGATCCGAATCGTTCGGTGGTGGTTACGACGGATGCGTCGGACTACGGCCTCGGCGCAACATTGCAACAGGAGTACAATGGAAAGTTCTGTCCGGTAGCTTACGCGTCGACATCGCTTTCGGAGACACAGCGTAGATATTCAACGAGCGACAAGGAGGCACTGGCGTGCCTGTGGGCAGTCGAAAAGTGGCACGTATACCTCTGCGGAAGGGAATTCAAGTAGATGACGGATCACGAAGCGCTAGTGGCGCTCTTCGGGCGGAAGGGGGCTGACCGGCGTTCGCTGCGATTGGCGCGGTGGGCTGAGCGCCCTTCTGCATATTCATTCGAAATTGAGTATAGCCCAGGACCACATAACGTCGTGGCGGATGCGCTTTCGAGACTGCCATCAAGCGCGCACGGAGCGATATCGGTGGACGACAACGAAGAAATGATTGTGTCGGAAGTTTCCGCGAATATGTCCCCTCTAACAATGGCAGAGGTGCGCGGAGAAACGGAAAAAGATGTCGTGTTGGCGAAGGTGTTGGTGATAATCGCCACAAAGCTCGGTAGGGAAAAAGTAACTGAGAACCTGAAACCCTTCCAGCATATCCGTGTCGAGCTGAGCGTCGTCAAAGGAGTCCTCGTGAGAAAAGACAAGGTCGTCCCCCCGGACTCGTTGAAGGAGAGAAGCATCAGAGCAGCACACGGAATAAGCCATCAGGGTATTGTTCGAACAAGAAGCGCGGTGAGA